CTGTTCTACATCTCTGTTGCTCTTACCAGCCTTAGTACAGTTTCTTCTTTAATTCCATAATTGTAGGACTTCCATTCAACTAGATTTCTGGTGGTTGTGAGTAATCGTTGTTCTGTATTTGGTTGTAATTTTGATGTGGTTATAATATGAGGAGGCAAGCTGTGTTTACCTGTGCTGCCATCTTGACCCGGAAATAGTAACTTTTATTTTAGAATCATCCTCCCAGAGATAACCACTGCTAATATGTTGTTGCACATATAGTTCTAGTCTTTCTTCTCTGCATTTGTGGGGACACATAGATTAGAATCGAGGTCAAACACATTGATTTTCTGTACCCAGGTTTTTTCATTCTCAAGTGTTTCAATATCATTACAATTTTATTACATCATTTTAAAGATTAAATAATAAGTCTTTGGATGGCTATACAACGATCTAGTTCAATAATCTCGTATGATTTGATTTTTAGATTTTTTCCAATTTCCTCTTTTTATAAATAGCACTAGGGTATTCTTTTGTAAAGAATTGTTGTTTGCGCATATCTGTTTATTTAGAATAAGTTTATAGAAGTGTACTTTTCTATTCAAAGTGCATCTATATTTTTCAGGCTTTTAAGAAATATTACCTCTAGAAAGATTGTACCAATCTAGTCAAATCTCTACCACTGAGCAGGCAGAGGTGTTTGCAAATTCAGTAACACCATCCTGAAACCTCACAGGGTTGGGGGAGGAAACAAAATAAAATATTTTCTCTGAAAATACTTTGAAAATTAAAATTTCTATTAAAACACACATTGCCATTATTTCCAAGTTTTAAACCACCCAAGATAGGCATTACCTCTCCCAACCACATATTCCAATAGTTAACAGCCCCGTGGAGAATAGTATTATTGACCACTTCTCTCTAAATGCAACTGACATCCAATAAATTTCATTTATTCAAAATCATTTATTGAGCACCTTCTATGCATTGAGCTTTCTATTAAGTATGAGGAATACAGAAGAAAAAATAATCCACACAGTTCTTGACATCAGTCAGCTCCTGGGAGGTGTGTAGCCTGGGAGGGTATGTAGAAAAAGAGAGATAAATCAGGATTTATTATTAGATCTAAGACAGGGCCAGGTCCTGAGTGCTCTGTAGGCAGGGCATCCTCCACCTTTGGGAAACCCAAGGAAGTTCCTGACCAAAGGATGCAAAGCTGAAACTGAGGATGAGGAGGCACCTGGGCTTTTGCTTGGATGGCTGTGTGCCAATCTCACTGCTCTTGAAACAATATTGAGAAATCACATTTTTTCTGGCACCTGTGTTCTGGTATATAAAGGGAGCCATTCTGGGGGGTGGGGGAGGTAGAGACTTTAACATGCCACATGGTGAAAAAGCCAAGTCCCCCATCGGGGTACACTTTGGGGAATAGATAGTTGTAATTCCTCTAGAAATCTGCCTGGCATTTTTAGTCAGTGAGACAGGCAAGCTGAGTCTGAAAGTGGAATTGCTTGGAATTGCAGAGGGGATTTTAGAAGGACATGGAAGGAAGACAGAGGGACAAGATATGGCAACTGGACAAGGAGCAGAACCTTGGAGGGCATGACGGAGATGCCTAGCATGTGTCTGCTGTGAAATGTGCGACCCGTCTACCCACGAGATCCTTGTGAGCACATGGAGTGACAAAAGGCTTGGTGGAGTCTGCAGATGGGCAGAGAGAGAATAGGCTGCCTGTTGGGGGCCGTCACACCTGGTTCACTCACACTTCAGTCTGTAAGCACGTGAGTGCTGCTGTGTGCGCAGGAGACTTCTGTGCAGCAGGAAATCTCCTGATATGCACAGGAGGTTGAAGTCAGCATTGTCCGCGGCTCTTCCCACGTGGACCTGGTGGGTTGCATGGGCTCCATGTGCTTGGACACACACAGAGCTTTAACAAAAAGGTGGGTGTTATAATGGGGTCTTTTAGGCAATCAAGGACATTCAGAAATGCAATCCAGAAATCCAGGTGTGGATTAGCTCCTTACGTAGACACACCCATGAAAAGTACCCCAGACCATTTTTATTTTGCCTTGTAAATAAATTGGCAATTAACAGAGCTGTGGGTATCAGCAGAGAAGCAAACTTCTCTTCCAAATTATATTGTTTTGTGGCAATATTAAAATTCATTTCTGTTTCTAAACCTGGCTTGAGAGGCATGGGAATGTGACCATAGATGTATACCCGACTAAGGATGGGAAATTATTATGGATAATCTTTCAAGAAGAATATTTACAAAGATAAAAGAAATTAACGAACCTCTTGGATATTGACTTCTCAATCATTGTTTTTTCTTTGTTGGTCCCAGAGAGGATTGCCTAGAAGACATACCATCAATTGTATGTTGTACAAAGAAGTAATGTTATTGTAAAGCGGTGAGTCGACAGTGATGGACTAGACTCTTCCAGGCCAACGTCATGGTGGTCAACTGTGCCGAGATTTGCGTAGGCCCACTCCACTTCCATGTGCAAATACACTGGCACAAGACTAGCAACTATTATACATCTTTGTCGATGTACAATAATAGGGTGGTGGACATATTAAGAAATTTAGAGAGAGAGTCCTATATAATTGCCAATAGCCCTTGCCTTTTAAGATATTAAACATCATATTCTTCTGGGTGCAGTTGTCTTACTTTGGGATGCAGAAATGCATCACTATTCAAACACTTACCTAGCAACCACATCTCAGTTGGTTTTGTCACCATTTGTCCCCAAGTTTAAATTAATGTACGTGAACAGCTCTATTGGGGAAAGTAATGAGGTCTGAGAACATACCCCTCAGTAATATGGAGGGCCTATCAATTGATAGGAAGAACGTGTTGCAGAGAGCAGAGCTCAAGGTCAAGTGCTTATTCAGCAGATCTGTGAATCACAATTACGTGTTTTATATATGACCTGATAAAAATATTCAGTCAGCCATCCAACAAGTGTTGTTCAACACTTATGAACATGTGTTAATATGACAGTGTGCAGGGGCTGAATATGTAGAGGAAGCAAGATAGAGGTAACTCTGGGACTTCGATGCTGGGATTTGGGATGGAACACTGGCAGTAGGCCAGGGTCACAGGTTTTCTCCTTATTCACAGCTCTTTTACTTGGTTAAACATACTAGTTACACGTAAACTAAGCTGTCTGTGGGCTGGCCCTGGATTACTCAGGCTAAGGTTGGCCATTACACACCCCAGCTTTTCTGTAGCTCAGAAGCTTAACCACCAAAACTTTATCTCTCACCCCAGTCACAGTCCAGTGGGCATCCACAGGGCACCAGTGACCCTTCCATTCATTCACTATCCTGAGCCCTTAGGACCTTGAAGTCTTCAAATGCATCTTCCTCTGGCCAATAATGAAGCAGAAAGACAGGGAATGAAAATGTGTGAGGTGTTTTAAAGGCCAAGACTAGACTGGAAGCATATCATTTCTGCTCACTTTCGAAAGCCACAGCTTCATCAGATGATCCCATGTAACCACAGGGGAGTCAATGGGGTGAACTTTGTGTGCCCAGAAAGAAAAAGAGAACCAAATTCTGATGGATACCAAAAGTTTTTACTACTCCTGTGAATGGTCTCCCAGGATTCTAACTGAGGTGGCAGGAAAAAATAAAATATCTGAGAGGAAAAATGCTTTTGACACATTCTTGAGAATTTTTCCTTAGACTTGTCTACCTTCTCTGACGTGCACACAGCCCAGTCTCAAGGCTCTAAAATTCTCCCAGCAGGCACTTGGCCAAGGCATTTCATCTTCCCAGGCCTCAGTGGACCCACATGTAAAAGTGAGAGGTTGGATCAGAATTCGTTCAGATCTGTTGACTCTTTTCATATCCAAAATGCCATGGTCCTGGAATGTTTGCTTTTCATTTCCTCCCAAGAGAAATAATCAGGGAACCAGAAAGGCAATGCCAATAGGCCAATAATTTATTTTTTTATTTTAATTTTAACTTCCTGTCTCACTTGCCGAGCCCATTTCTAAAAATTAAAATACACATAGTAGATAAGATTGTTACCAATACAACAGTGATCTTTTCATGGCAAAGTAAAGCTGTTTGGGGTGGGGGAGGTTTGGGGGAATGAACAGCACATTCACATACACACACACACACACACACACACACACACACACACATATATATAACGGACAAAGAGATCCCTCTTTAAAAAAAATCTTGTTCGAACAGTCTTGCAAAACATATGCTCTCTTCCTACTGAACTAACCTCGCCTTGTATTAGTCAGTTTTGCAGTGGTAACAAACAGTGTTATCTCAGTGGCTTACAACATTTACTTTTTGTTCACTTTGCATAAAGATGGTGAGTCAGCTGCAGATTGGCTGTGACTCTGCTGATATTGGCTGGACTCATCTGGGTTCCACCTGTCTTCTCATTCTAGAAGCCAGACTGAGGGAGTAGCTGAAACATCCTGAGTGCACGTGGAGGATAAGAACATGAGAGCCTAGGCCAAACCATGCACCTATACGCGTAAGGCTTCTGATTGGACGCAGCAGAAACAGTGCCATTCCACTGGCCAAACTTTTTCACACATCCAAGTCCAAAGTCACTCAGTAGGATGTGTACTCTTCTCACAGGATGCATGAGTATGTCCAGTGACAACAGATGGGGACATGACTGGGAGAGAGCAAATTGCTAGGGACAATAATCCAGTCTGCCCACACCCCCCACTTCCTCCACTGAAATTCTACATGCAGCATTTCCCATTGCAAGGAAGCCACTTTACCTCTGTCCTTCTGCTGTGGAACACTCGGGCTGGAGAGAGTTGAGAGGGAGAAGCAGTCAACAATGGGGAAATGGAGGGATTTTAGCAAACATTTGCATAGGCCTCATTATAGGATAGGCACTGTTTTATGCTTGTTATGAATACTAATTCATTTAACTCTCATCACAGATCTGTGAGGTTGGCCATAGCATTATTCCCAGTTTATAGATGAGGAAACTAAGGCCCAGAGAAGTGAAGTAATTTGTTGTGATTACACATCTAGTAAGTAGCAAAGAAAGGCTTCCAACCCAGATAATCGGGCTCCAAAATCCCTCTTTTTAAGCACTCTGAAAAGGAGAAGTGGGAGGGTTCTAGCATTATTCATCAGCTGCTTGCTGATGTGCTGCAATTTTAGGGGCGCAAGAAAATCGGTGTCTTCTAGAAGGGGCAGACATTATTTCATCAAGACATGACAAGTGTGTTTTTCAAAACACACAGAAAACTGAACATTATGAGATCATGAGGATATGGGTCGCTGTCCTGGGCACGGTCCTGCAGAATCTCTTCTCTCATGGAGCTGATAGTCTAGTGGAAGGAGATGCACCACCAACAAGTAAATACGGGGAAAGGGTCGTGGGTCAGACGGTGGGCAGCGCTGTGGAGAGCAGGTGGGACAGGGGCCTGTGGAGAGCAGGTGGGCCTGGGAACGTAGAGCAGTGTAGGAGATGGACTGACTTTGAAAAAGGTGGTCAGCAAAGGCATACCGGTGCAGTGACATTTGTGCAATGGCCTGGAAGAGGTGAGGAAGATAAATATTTGAGGACTGAGTAAATGAATGCTCAAACCGATTTAGCTATCCCAGCGAGACCTACAAATAAATAAGTCAAAGATTACTTATTACTTAGACCTGGCTCGAACCACCTTCTCCCCAGCCATCACCCTGGCTGACTTGTGCTGGACCATTCCTACTCTTTCTCCCCTCTCACTTTTCTGCAGCCACTCCCATTTCCAACAAAGGATCTCCTGTGGGACAGAAGGTAACACCACCACAATCTTCTTTTTAAATGGCTGGGCAATGTCGTTCGGTTCTTTTCTCTGATTGGGAATAGGCAGGGGTCATGCGCTGGCATTGGTTCCCATTGTTCTGGGCTGTGGGGCGAGAGGGGGGGCCGTCCATGCTGCCGTGATTGGCAGGTCTGCATGCCCACACACGTAAGACAAGGCTGAGCGTATTTTACTTGACAGAGGAAGTGAGCCAGGTGTGACAGCAGACAGAGCTAACAGAATCACTGGGTAGTGGTAAAGGACAAAGTAGGCAACATGCTTTGAACCCCGGGTTCCTCGTCTTTGAAATGGGAGCCACGATGTAGTAGTAGTAACAACAATAGCTTTTCTGCCCATTGCACAGGATTATTACAGGAATAAAAGGTGATAATGATATAAAAGTGCTTTATAAACTCTAGATCACCATGTTCATGAGAGTGTTTGCCACTTTATCTGTGATGTTGTTGCTAATCAGAGGCAGGGCTCAGAGTCTAAAGACTGGACTCCCTTCTCTTTGCTGTCTGTGCTGTGCAATGCAGCCAGGTGGTTGCCTCTCTGAGCCTCGGCTTCCTCACCTGTCAGAGGGAGCACCTAGCAGAGGAGTTATTCACTGGGTGGCATCATGCTGGCCACTGGTTCCCACTCCTGGGTTCCCACCGAAATCATCTGCAGGGCTTTCTTTAAATGTCTGTACGCCCATGGGCCCAACTTTGAAAACCGTGGATGTTTTAATTCATATTAATTGGTTGTCTCATAAGAGAGTTGTCTCTGAAAGTCAGACCAATGAGCATCTGTTAGCATCTGTCCACAGTACGCCCTGGCGAGAATTGAAACTCTCCCAGGTCCTATCCTTGACTCCCAGCCAAGCATGCTGAGCAGAAATCAGCCTGCATTAGCTCAGAGACGCTGCTGGGATCCCCTGTGAGCTGTTGGAATTAGCATAATCAGATTTTGAAGTGACGCCTCCTGCCGCGGGGAAGCACTCAGCATTCTGCTTTATTAAAGTGACTCCATGCAAAGGCACGTCATCACAGGTGGCGATTTACCCCGTTAGATTAGGAGCCAGGAGATCTTTCTACCAAAGTCCCTGTTTGCACAACTAATCCTGAGTCAGCTCCAGTCTGTACAAACAGTATCTCTGCTCACAGTCTGCCTTTGAGAGCACGCAGCCCTCACCAAGCCCAGCACACTCCCTCCCATAGGATGGGGCTTCACAGAGCACAGGGTCTTCCAGAAGTTCTTCCTCTGGTGGAACGTCTGGGGTTCGTGGGAGAGGAGGAGCAGAGGGTGTCTGGAATCCAAGGTGGGCATTTTACACCAGCTTTCATGCTTTTCTAATAGCTTTCACACAGCTGTGATGTTCAGACTAAATTCCTGGGCTCTAATGTGATAGCCATTTTATGTGGCAATTCCCTGAGGAAAATTCCAGAATGTTTCCCATCAAAGAATATCTCAAAACAAGGAACAGGAAGGGAACCTTATTGGGAAGCAATAAAATGTAAACTTGGTCATTGCAGTGATGAACAGTAATCACAAGCAGGGGTCATCTGGTGAATGTTCACAGACAGACACTTAGATGCAGTCCGGCGACAGTCAGACGCTGCATTGCTGTGGCCACTGGCATTGCATGCAGGACAGGAAGTGCTGGAACTGCCATCTGCCCACCTTAGGTCAGGGTTCACTTAGCACTTCAACCCCAACATTGAAAGCCTGTTTCAGAGAGCAGCCGCTGTGCTCTCCCTGAAACCCCTTGCGTCCCCCTGCCAAAGACGGGATAGGACGCTGGCTCCATTCTGTAACATTCAGTAACACCATTAGCTTAGGATACATTCTCAGTGCAGAGTTTCATTGTATCTCAGAATCTTGTTCTGCTTTTTCACCCTTAGGGCTTCATTGGTTCACTTCTTCATTCTGCAGTCCCTGGCTCTTGACTTTAGGCAGAGCTGGTATAGAGGCCTTAATCTTGTCCCCTGGTGAACAATCTCTAATCCCTCCTGCTCACCCCACCCCTGTCAGATTACACCCTCTGTTTTTCAGACTAAATGCTGGCATTCTGTACTGGTATTTCGAGGCTTGGAAAGACAAGCCTGGAGATCACGGGGGTGCTGTGGGGTTCTCACCCTGTTAGTCTAGCCTCAGGCCATCTCACCCAAGTGGAACAGCAGGTGAGGCCACCCCGTGGGCAGCAGACCCCGACCCTGCAGGCCCCAAAGGAAGCACTAATACAGTTTCTAACATCTAAAACAATGAGTGAATGTATTTAAAATTTATCTGCAAGAAACGAGACATTATGCATTTTTAGGGCAAGAAAAGCATTTGAAATATAACTTGGATTAATAATCAGGAGACTCGACAGGCAGTGTCCTACCTGTTCAGTGAGGAACTGAGGGTGCAACGTGGCTGGGAGCAGGCGGGGCTTCCCCACCATCTCAGCCTTGAGCAGTCTTAGCACAGTCCAAAGTTTGCCCCAAACTGGCAAATGTCCACCAGGAGTAGAATAAATAAATAAACTGTGGTCTTTTATTCAATATAATGTGAGTGAAGTGAAAATGAATTTTATAAAACAATATGTAATGAGGCTGACTCATACAACCTAAAAGGAAAGAAACCAGACACATGTATTCGAAAATGCATATTGTATGATCCTGTTCATGTAAAGTCCCAAAGTAGGCGAAACGAATCTGCAGTGACAGAAGTCTGAAGAGTGGTTTCTACTGGCAAGAGGCGGGGAGACATCAGGGATGCTCTTATTGTTCTTTCTTGACCTGGTTGTAACATGAGAACATTCACGTTGTGATAATTCATTGAGCAGAATACTTATGATTTGTACATATCTTATGCATGACAGTCTTTAAAGAAATCCAAATCTTGGATTGGGCAGGGCTTGTCCATTTGAATCGGGCTTGCAAGAACTAGGTAGGTGCTCAGAATCCCTTCCTGGCGTGCTAGGTCCATTCCAGGGAAAATGATTAAAAAATCTGAGTAGAACATTAGGGGGACGGTGGCACATGAGGCAGGGCAAGGTAAGGACCGTACTTGCTTGGGGGATCACCTGGTACCAGGTCTTCTAAGTCTCACAACATGGTAGAGCTGAGATGGCTGGTGCTCAGCACTGGCTCAAGTTCTGGGTGCCCCAGAATATGCAGATTCATAGACAGCGGGATCTCAGGTCAGGTATTTGGAACTCTCGGGAGGGGAAGCTGCCTCCCGTGCTGTGGCACACGCATTCTCTGCCGTAGAGAGTGGCATCTGCACTGGCTATGGGACCGTGGCCCTTATGGTCCATCCAGGGGCAGCAGCTCTTGTTTCTCAGAACAGCTCTCTCTGTTCTGAGAAGTGCCAGGGCAAGAAGTGCCAGCTCTTTCTCAGCTGTTGGCTGGGACGAAGGCACTTGGCTTAATGGAAGAGGGTGATGAAGGGAAGCTTTAGAAAGAGAAGGTCTGAGCGGTGTCGGCACGGATAAGGAAGAGGGTCCTGGGGGGCCTACCACAGCAGCACATAGCAGGAGGGGAGGCATATTTGAATGAGATAATGGGAGCACCCTGGCTGGTGCAGCTCAGCAGATTGAGTGCCAGCCTGTGAACCAGAGGGTTACCAGTTTGACTCCCAGTCAGGGCACATGCCTGGGCTGCAAGCCCAACAGGGGAACAAGCTAAAGGAAACTGCACATTAATATTTCTCTCCCTCTCTTTCTCCCTCCCTTCTCCTCTCACTAAAAAATAAATAAATAAAATTTTCAAAAAGATAATGGGAGGAACCTAAAGATGGGAGGGTACTTCAAGGATTCAGAAGCGAGGGAGCCAGGCAGCTGGTCAGGGCAGGGAGTGGGGGCTGCTGGCCTGCAGCTGACCTGCTCTCTCGTCCCGAGTCTTCCACTTACAAACCATAGCCACACCCAGAGAGCTGGCCAGGAGTGAAGCCAAGGTAACTGTCCTCGGACAGAGGTGTGGGGCTGACGTTTTTCTCATTGGACTCCAAATATTTGGAGCCATTTGCCACTATAACCTGGGAAATCCCGGAGGAAGTGGCTCCTTTGTAGCCCACCACGTATTTTCTGAACGCTTTTCTCTAGGGAAATTCATTCAGGAGAAACCCTCTGAGCCCGGACCAGAGCCCCGGAAGGTATAAACCTGATGATAGCTGCTCTCGCTCCCCCGCCCTGCTCCCCGCCCTGCTCCCCGTCCCGGCATTTCCTTCACAAAGCAAACGGAGCCCCGGTTTGGCTGAGAAGTCTGGAGAGCCCCTGACCTCGCCCCAGGCGGGCGATGTACGTAGCATGTCACTCTCAAGCATTTTGATGAGATGCCCAGAAGAGCAGGAAACTGTCCGTGAGAAGATATTATAGAATTCCTTTGGCCAGTGGGTAGGATTTCCATCCCCATGCCAGGCTGAGACCTCCAGGACAAAGAAATGGCCTGGGGCTCCACAGACCCAAAGGAGCTGGATCAGTGACAGCCAAGCGTCTGAAACGCTCAGGCACAAGCAGAGCGGTAGCTGAGGTGGTCCCTCTGAGCCCCCGCCCTCCAGACTCCGCAGCTGGGGCCCCAGGCTTGGTGCGCTGCTCCCTTCTGCCCGTAGCGGGTGATTCCTTGGCTCCTCTCACATTGGCTAGATTTCTCTCTCTCAGTGACGAGCAGCTGACAGTTTACTAATCTGCTCTGTACTTCGGTTTTCTCATCTGGCAAAAGGGCCGGTAACAACCTGGGCTACTGGAGGAACTACTGTGAGGGCTGAATGAAACTTAAATGACTGGGTACCTAGCACAGCGCTCGGGCCATAGTGAGTGCTCCATATGTAATAGCCCTGATTTTCATAAACCAGGATGAGTTTTTAACAACTTGATTTAAATAGATGATTCTGAGGTGTGAGATGGACCAGGCAGTTTAGAATGTGCAACGTGGGCCCTGGCCGGGTGGCACAGGGGGTTAGAGCGCTGTCCCATGCCCCTAACTTTGCAGGTTCAGTTCGCAGTCGGGGCACATACCTAGGTTGCAGGTTTGATCCCCAATCAGGGCGCGTAGAGGGGGGAACCAACCAATGTCTCTCCCTGTCTCTCTCTCTCTCTGTCTCCCTTCTCCTCTCTATGAAATCACCTACTTTAGAGGACTGAAATACTCAGGTGAGGATTTTAAAATATATATCTAGAATATACAGTCTGGGAGGGTGTTTGAGAGGGGTCCTGAAAAAGTGACTAGAAGGTCCCCAAAGAATAGCAGCCGCCTCCCAGGACCCCAATATGAGGGGCTCACTCGGTGACACCCACGCGTCCTGATCCTCTCTGGTCACTGAGACTCATATTCCTGAGAGCCTCTCAGAGGGAGGAGGAGCAGGCGGACCCGGCCTCCACGAAGCCATCGGGGGTGGGGGGCGTCCAACCGCCGACAGAGAACTGCCCTCTGACCCGGAGGATTGGACCCGGCTGGTCTTTTCAGGGCTCATCAGACAACACCCAGTCATTTCAAGCTTCCCAAGATGAGCAGCTTTGCCCCTGGATGTTCTTCTCTTGATTTAAAATTAGAAATAAAAATAAAAGGGAAACGTATGTCATGTGTTTCCTAACATTTACACTTCGTTCATCAAATCTGTTGTTTTCTGAGAGTTGGGATGAGCCGTTTTCAAATGTCTTTAAAAGTCCTTTTTTCTTTTTTTAAGCATTTTTTATTTAATTATTGTTCAAGTACAGTTTTCTGTCTTTTCCTCCCATCCCAGCCCCACCCCAGTCCTCCCCATCTCCCTCCCATTTCCACCCCCCTTAGTTTTTGTCCATGTGTCCTTTATACTTGTTCCTGTGAGTCCTTCCCCTTTTTCCCCTGAAATTCCCTCCCCTCTCCCCTCTGGTCCCTGTCAGCCTGTTCTACATTTCAGTGTCTTTGGTTATATTTTGCTTGCTTGTTTGTTTTGTTGTTTAGAAAAGTCCTTTTTTCTTAGAAGGACATTCAGAGGCTTCGAAACTTGTTCCAAGGGTAAAAGTAATATTCGTAATAAATTGCTCGAAAGTCTCAACCCTGCGAGTTCACATTTTACTTAACACTCCGAACCCAAGGGACTTGAATTACTACTGGGGTTTGTCATTTCTTGGTTATGGGGCCTTTCCAAAGGGGAGGGAGAAACCACATGGGGGTTCACTACAGTTCACCGTGTAGTTCCAGTCCGTGACTGTAGCTGGGAAGACGTCCAGAACTACTCAGCCCGAGCCTCCCCAGAAGCCTCCCTAACTCTGTGGCCACAACAGGAAGGAGCTGTTCGAGTGTGCTTCAGAGCTCCCACCTGGCCTGGTGCTCTTCTGGCTGGTAGCTCGGAGCCCTCCCAGACCAGTTCACTGGGAGGCATATAGTCTCTGTCACCTAAAGCAAGTGAAATATTGTTAGGTGACTCCTGGATGAAAGAGAACAAATTTTCTGCGGGGTAGGGGAGAGGGAGCTGGCAGCCACCCCGCTGCCCTTCGCCGTTGTCATCTGATGACCCCTGGTGGCGGAACTGTTCCCAGCCTGTGCACAGCTGCACTTGGAGCCAAGCCACCCGGCCAGGTTAGACCAGGTTACATTTACCCACATTCCTTCCCTCCTGGGCTGTCAGTCACGTGAGGCAGGGAGCAAGAATCCTTTGCAAAAGCCCAGAATAAAGTAGTACACGTGCCTGACCAGACTGTCATTTCAAAAAAGTTGCCTGGTGCCTTCCCTTCCAGTGACCTCTGATTGCTGCAGGAAGAGAACAGAGCCAACATGAGGGAACATGTGGCATCCACGTTGATTCCCATTTTGCTACTTTTTCTCAACATCGACCTTCTGCAAGGTAAGTAAGAGACCGTCCTGCACCCTTTAACTCCCGGTGTTGGGGGAGGGTTCCTGACAGGGTGGAGGCCCTGATAGTCCTCTTGCAGTGCAGTTGTGAGAAATGAAGATGTCTGTGCCAGTGGCTGCTATTAAGTTGTGTTTGCAATCTATTTGGCACTAAAAAAGCAAAAGTCAATGCAAACCAGGAATGCTTACTGAGCAACAGGGTTTGGGTGTTTATAAATAAACTTCTCTTTCTACTTCCCCCCAACCCCCAGCCATGATAAAAAAAAAATGCCTCCACCTGTGAGATTGTCCCGAAGACATTCTCTCTAGAGGCCCATCAAAGTCACAGGGATCAGCAGGGCAAGCCCCGGGCTGGCTGGCAGGGGCTGTTTTTGTGGGCCGTGGAGCTCAGCAGACATGATCAGCCTGGAGTCCTCCTCGGTTGGGAAGTCTGGCCCAGGAGCCAGCCTGAGGGGCAGGGAGACACGTGTGAGAGAAAAGAGACCAGCACCTAACTGCTCTCCTCTCTGCTCCTGACTCCGGAACTGGTAAGTCCTCCGCATCCAGCTCAGCACTAAGGAGGACCGACTGGGGTCCTGTGGAAGTGTGTGGCTTCCCAGCCCAGCATCAGGGCAAACTCTCGGGGTCATGCATCCCCTTCTTGGGCGGGACAGACAAGGAAGAGAAGAGGGGCCAGCTCACCAACAACTTTGGGGATGAGGCAACTAGAACTCTCCACCCCCTTGACATAGCATTTTCCGTATCACCTGCTCGACATCTTCCAGCTTCCAGCTTCCAGCTGGGGCTGGACACAGATCCTAGATAATCACGGTGACTTGTAACCAGGAGACCAGCTGCCTACTCCCCAACTTTTTACCATGTTTCCTGCCCACTCCCCCCAAAAGCCATAGAAATTACAAGGAAGTCGTTCATGCCTCACCATACAAAGACCAGAGGAGAGAGGAGGAAATGTGAAAGAAAAAGAAGCTAAAAACCAAGTTTCAGAAATGAGGAGCGGTACTGTGGCACTGGATCACAAGTCAAAGCTGGAGAGAAGTCGGGGGAAACAAAGGGGAAAGGAGAGGATGGGGGAGGGGGAGGAGCAGCGGCAGTGACGCAGGGACACACAGAAGATCGGAGACTGAGCTGATGGTGTGGGAATGGCAGAAAGGCGTGGATGAGGGAGCAGAGTGGGGAAGTGCCAGGGAGCATTGCATCGGCACAGGGAAGAACTCCTTCCACCGTCCCCCTCACGGTGTGGGTGGTATCAGCTGTATAGATAGACCCCACAGGATTACGGAAGGGCCATGCACACTTCAGTCCATCTCACTCCTGACTCTCGCTCTGTGCTGAGACTTTATAATATGTCACTTGATCCTATGTGCCTGATATCTCCATCTCAAGTGGGGTACACACACACCCCACCAACACCACCCCAAAGTTTCTCTCTCTCTCTCTCTCTCTCCATCCTGCCGACATTGGGGCAGCCCATGGAGGAGGCAGAGGAGGGTTGCTAGATGCTAAAACGTTGGCATTTCTGAGCATCCCACCCTTAGGCCTGCTCGTCCCAAGACCTCATCATTGAACGGTCCCGTAAACCTGCTTTTGTCACCAGCAGATTGATGAAATGGACCCTAAGATTGATTCCAGTGCCTTCTGGCTTTCTCTAGGACAGTCACCTCCTGGAAAACCAGAGATCACTAAATGTCGCTCTACTGAAAAGGAAACGTTCTCATGCTGGTGGAAACCTGGGCCAGATGGAGGACTTCCTACCACCTACACGCTGAACTACCACAGGGAAGGGTGAGTGTGTCCACTCTGCAGGCCAAAGCAGTACCACTCCTGAGTTCGGGTTACCACGCTTCCCTGGCCTGACGCTAATAGGCTCGTACTTCTGGGGAGAAGGACTCAAGCATCCATGTCCACCTTCTGCTGTTGACGTCCGACAGCATCAACTCAGCCGTCACCTCAACAAGACACAACACAGTGTTCTCCCTCACGCACAGTTTTACTCCATGGTTTAAATCACCTGCGATCATCCATAGTCCAAAAATATTAAATGGAAAATTTCAGAAATAAGCAGTTCATAAGATTTAAATGTTGTGCCGTTCTGAGTCACAATGAAATTCCACACTATTCTACTTCATCCCACCAGGGACATGAGTCATTCCTTAGCGTATCCACACTGTATAGCTACCCACCCGTCACTCGCTTAGTAGCTGCTTTTCAGATCGACTGCTGGCTAAGTGCCAAAGTGCTTGTGCATCCCAGTCACCCTCACAGCGGCCTAACACCACATCACTGCGCCTGTGTCACCCACCTGGCTTCATCTCATCATGTCGGCATTGCGTCCACCTGGCATCATTACAAGACCAAGGCTGAGCACAGTGCATTAAGATATGTTGAGAGAGAGATCACGTTCACATAACTTTTATTACAGTCTATTGTTATAATTGTTCTGTTTTATCGTCGGTTATTGTTGTTGATCTCTTACTGTGTCTAATCTATGAATTAGACTTTACACGTAGATATGTACAGGGAAAAACACAGTACATGTAAGGTTCAGTCCTATCCACAGTTTCAGGCACCTCCTTTGGGTCTTAGAACATGTCCCCCCATGGATAAGGAGCAGCTGTGGTAGCAACATTTTCTGTTACTGCCCTGCCCCAACTTAGGCTGCAGCCTAAGGTCACATCTAACTGTTCACTAAGTGTTGGTTAACTTTAGGTGCTTATCTATAAACCTTGTGTTACTTATAATATTTTAGTAATAATTACTTTTGCAACATAAAAGGACTATCATGTAATCCATGACAACCATGGTACATTAACTTTTCAAATTCATTTCATGTCCAAGAAAACAAAGAGCCTTAAAAGGAAAGGAAGGTGGTGATTTTTCTTAGAAAACTGCTCATCTTTGAACTCCCAGAGGGCAGCTGTGGAGCCAAGGCTGCGTTGAGGACTGAACGAGGTCGTCCCCGGGTGAGGATTCTGTTAACACTTCAGTGAGACCCTCCGGGGAATCCAGGGACAGCTGTATCCTTCCCCAGTGAAGGAAACGCTTGCCGGTGGTCACAGCCCGCCCATCCCCAGAGCCTGCCTGCGCTTTGCTGTGCCAGGGGTGCCTAGCAGACGGCCTGTGGGCTGCATTCGGCCCAACACAAACTCGTAAATTTACTTAAAGCTTTTTTTTTGCTCATCAGTTTTTATTAGTGTTTGAGTATTTACTGCATGGCCCAGGACAACTCTTCTTCTTCCCGTGCGGCCCAGAGATGCCAAAAGGTTGGACACCCCTGGTTACACAAAGCTATCAGTCATTCTGGGACCTAAAGGGGTGTCGAGTACACAAACTTCGGAACCCACACTGGCAGCCCGCATGGCGTGCTGCTCCACACCTGCGTGGGGAGTCTTGCGCTGAGGCCCCCAAGTCTAACGAGAGCATGGCAACGAGCCACTGGACCTGAGATGTCTTTCTTCACAGTCACTTCTCTCTGCTGCTGACTTAGTGCAGTCAGAGATGCATCAGCATCGGTTTTTATTTTCCTTAATCTTTTTTAAACAAAATGTAATTTAACATATGAGGTCTGTCCAGAGAGTATCAAGCCATGCACTGTGAAAAACAGAGATATTTACTGAAGCAGATACAAGTTACGAGAACACAGGGCATTGACACCTCAGTCCCCTTCCAAGTAGGTATCTTGGTACCTTGCACATTTCTCTCAGTCACCATCAGGTGCCCTGTTGTATTTTTCTGAATCTCATCCATGGTCTGAAATCTCTTCCCCTTCAAAGGTGATTTTAACTTTGGGAAAAGCCAGAAGTCTCAGAATGCCAATACTGAGCTGTAGGGGGGCTGAGTCACCTGGGTGATTTGATGTTTCTCCAAAAATCTCTGTATGAAACGTGATGCATGAGTGGGCACGTTGCCATGATGAAGCTGCTAGTCATCAGTTGCCCATCGCTGCAGCCTTCTGAGTCATCTGAATAGTTTCTGTGGAGGAATGTTCAAGCTTAGTGTAAAATTTGATGCAGATCCATTGCTCTACTCGCTCAATCATTTTGAAGGTGATGGTCACACAGTACACATGCTCACTCAACAGCATCTACCACCCTCACTGACTAGTATAGTGAAGTCATCATTGTTCATGCACGTTCATTCCAGTCCACTCTCCTTGGCTGTCAGGTTACATTGATGTCACACTAACCATTCTTGTTATATTAACAATGGCTGGACTGTTTCCAGACAGACCTCATATATGTGCAATAAATGCTGCATTGTGCATGGCCCCTCAGGGCTTATGGGCAGAAGTCACCTGTTTGCTGAGGTGACCCAGTAGCAGCATGATGAGTGTGGTGATGCCTTGGCTATTGAAAGTTCAAGTGCTTATTGGCAGGAGGCACAAGCCACAAAGCCCATAGAAAACTATACGAAGGAAGGCTTGATGAGAGGCAGAGTTATTAAGGCTCTAAAGTGACACATCCACCCCTTTCCCCAGCATTCTCTTCCCTGTCTCACTCCAGTGACATGGGTAAGGCACAGAAGCTTGGCAGCTTCGTTCGTCAGCTCTGATCCCCAAAGTCTAATGGTATTGATCTATTAAGGAAAAACTAGATGCTTTTTACTATCTTCTTACTCACTCCTAATATATAATTTGTTGCAGAGACTCAGTCATTTTTGAGTGTCCAGACTACAGAACCAGCGGCCCCAACTCCTGCTTCTTTAACAAGAGGTACACCTCCATTTGGACAGTGTACATCATCACAGTCAATGCCACAAACCAGATGGGAAGCAGCATCTCCAATCCACATTTTGTGGACGTGGCCTACGTAGGTAAGGAGAAGGGAGATAGGTGAGGAAGTGATTACTCCATTATGAATCTACTAATAATCAAATTCAGTTTGAGTCTTCTTGGCTTATGGAAGAATCACCAAAAAAAAAAAAGAAGATGAATTCACAATATCCTCATCAACTGAGTACTTTAAACCAATTTTTATTGAATCATTCATGACGATAAGGCTGGCACTTGGGCTCCTTGTGTTTCTGTGTTTTCCTTTGATTTTTCTTTCCATCCCCTTGCATCGAATAGGAATGTTCTATTTGTGCTTCTCTTATCAATTCCCCCCTCCAGCCCTCCTCCTGCAACCGTGTCCCTTTCCCCCTTGGCAAGCTGGGATTTCTTTTCTCCTTCCCTGGAGGACAAAGCTATTCCATAGAATAGCACCTCCTAGAAGCTGTCTGCCTCTGTACCCACAGGACTAGCTCCAGCTGCTTGGTCCAAATTTGATTCTCAGTGCACATATACTTCTTAGCACCTGGAGCTCTTCTTTTAAAAATAAAGAATTTGGGGGTGTTAAGAGTGCTACTTGAACAGCAGGCTGAAAGCCATTATCGCAAGTACAATGTTTGGAAACATCATTAGCAAAGCAAAACAAAGTTGACCTGAGAGCTGCCTCTAGCTTCGCATGATTAACATTGGGTTGCAAGGCAATTAGGCATCACTGTAGTGGCCTGTGTGGCTTAGCAGGGATGACAAAGGGAATCCCAGGACAAGAGATGGATTGGCTGGGACCGGGGTCGGCCCTCACATTTGATAATAACCGAAGGAAAAGCTAAGTAGGTTCAAGGTTGCATAAGACTTCCTGATTTACCTAAATCCACCCAACAAAGAAAACTCAGTGAGGAGTCTCAAACATTCACTTTATTGCACTGCCATTCTAGCAGTGGTTGATCCTTAGAAAGCTTCCAATACCAACGGGTTCACACTTGATATATTCTCTACCCCCCTACACCCCCCCCCCAGCAAATCATTGCAAAGAGCATGGAGGGAGAAAGTGAATTTAATCTTAGTTTAAGAAAATCCAAAAGGTAACCCCACTGACAAGCAGGGATACAATGAATTTTGTCATATAATTTTATTTGAGATATGAAGTCTTTAAGATGCTAAATGCCAAGTGATTTCTTCTTCATGGCACTTTCTTCAATCGCCTTGCCCTCAAAAATTAAAATAGTATTGAGGGCAAAACAGTGAAAACAAGAGAAGTTCTAAAATGAGCAACTGCTATGTCACTTGAAAGCAGCGATTTTCAACTAGGGGCTCTTTTGCTGCCCCCCCCCCAGGATATTTGGCAATGGCAGGAGATACTTTTTATCATTGTAGCCCAGGGAGGAGAATGAGGGTATTACTGGCATCTAATGGGCAGAGACCAGAGAGGCTGCTAAGCATCCCACACTCAGAACAGCCCCTCACAGCAAAGGGTCACCTGATCCAAAGTACAAGGAATGCTGAGAAGGCTGTAAAGTATTCACCCTGAACATTTTACATGGATTTTTGTACAATATTTTTATCAGTGGTGTTTCTCAGCATTGTGTTTAAAATTTATATTGAGTAACTGATGTTTCTTTAGTAAGTGCATATAAAATCATCTTTCTTTGTAACATAGTAAAGTAATTTTTTATATTTACTTTGTAACATTTTCTTTGTTACAAAGTAAATATAAAATCATATTTACTTTGTAACATAGAAGCATTGAGATTACTGGCAAATATTCTAACATTCATTTTGTAGGTAATTGTAGGTTAGAAAGTCAAGGGCACTGTAGCTATACTCACTCTTATGTCACCTAATGTGGAAAGTGAGTCGAGAAGGTAGTAATGAAGAGAGAAAAGTGTTACTAAGCAGCAAGACTGAGTAAGGCAAGCTAGCACCCTAGGCACCTCATTCTTAAGGAGGCATCACAGACTTGTACTTGAAGGAATCTGAAAGGAAGTACCTCCTTAATTTTTTTATTGTAGTAAAATACATATAACATAAAATTCACCATTTTAAAGTATGCAATGTAGTGGTCAGAGTTCATTCACAATGTTATGCAGCCATCACCACTAACCACTTCCAGAACACTTTCATGACCCCAGATGGAAACGTACCCATTAAGTAGTTACTCCAGCTAGCCCTCCTTACCCTGGCCCCACTAATCTGCACTCTGTCTCTACAAAGTTGCCCGTTCTGGGCATTTCAGGTATATGGAGTCATACAGCATGTGGCCTTTGTATCTGGCCTCTTTCACTTAGTGCAACATTCTCCAGATTCATCCATGTTATAGTGTGTATCAGTACATACTCTCTCATGATGGCTGAATGGTGTTACATTCTATGGATATTGCGTATCCATCCACTGATGGACATTTGGGTTGTTTACACCTATTGGCTATTGTGAATGGTACTGTTATGAATATTCATGTCTGAGTTTTTGTTTGAACACCTGCCTTCATTTCTATTGGGTATGTTGGCTAGAGCATGAAATTGATGGGTGACATGATAATTTTATGTTTAACCATTTGAGTAACTTCCAGACTTTTCCCCATGGTGTCTGCAGCCTTTTACTTTCCCACCAGCAGTGTATAAGGATTTCCATTTCTTCAACATCCTCCCTTGTTGTTTTTAATTTTTTGAATTCCGACCATCCTAGTGGGTGTGAAATGTTATCTCATTGTGATTTTGACTTGCATTTCCTAAATGACTAATGACACTGAAGTTCTTTCATATCCTTACTGGCCATTAATTCGTCCTTAAACTTTGCACCCTACGCATCTCCCTTACTTCAACCTGATCCCAACTCTACTAACCAGCACCTGACATCAAATACAAGTTGTCTCATAACCATGGTGGAATGAAATGGTAAGTCCTATAGTTCTGTGTTCAAATACCACCTTCAGTGAACACAGGGTTTCTTTCCTATTTTCAGTTGAACCAGAGCCTCCTGTGAACCTGACTTTGCAAATAAAACATCCAGAAGACCAAAAACCGTATCTGTGGATAAAATGGTTTTCACCCAAACGGCCTGACATAAGATCTGGTTGGTTCACACTTCAGTACGAAATTCGATTAAAGCCTGAGAAAGCATCTGAGTGGGAGGTGAGTTGGCCAGAAGCTTTGGGAAGGAGCCATGCCCTTTGGCAAAGGCGAAGAAGCCCTTGCTGTGTGCTGGGAACAGGTCATTTCTCCTAATTATTGGGCTATCATGTTGTCCTCCTGATGCTGATGTGGCCGCCCGGCTGTGGAAGGGCCTTCTCCCCTCTCTTTGGGATTGCTGGGGGTGCATCTTCACAGCTCTCTCAAGGTGAATTCCTTCTTCACACCAAACAAATGCTTCCACCAGGTTTCCAACCTGCCTCCCTCAGGAGACTCTTAGAGCTAGACACCTATGAGAACACTTAAATGGCACTCAGTGGGAGGAGAAAAATCTTAGTGTAACCAGTCAATGGTCTGTGGCATTTTTATTCACTTTAAAATATTTCATTGCGAAGAAATAATACAGTAATTACAGTATGATATTCCACTCTTAAATGCTTTAGTATATGTCTTTTTAAAAAAGGAAACATTTTCAAACATAGCCAAAATAATATTGCACCTAGGAAAATAATAAAAATTCCCTAATGTCATTTAGATAGCCAATTCATATTTTAATTCTCCCACTTGCACCTAAAAAATATCTTTAACAGCTACTTTGTGCAAACTAGGACCACACATTGTGACTGGTTATTATGTTCTTTTAGCCTCAACAGGCTCAGGAGACAAGGCCCCTTGTCCCATAGAATGTCCTACATTTTGCATTTGTCTGATTAGTTCTTAGGGAGGTCATTTAGCTCATTTCTCTGCCCTGTATTTCTTGTAGCCAGCCATTAGCTCTAAAGACTTGATTAGATTCAGGCTGAACAAGTTTGGGCAAGAATATTTCAGAGGCAATATTCTATCGCTTCGTATTGCATCATGTTAAGAGACACAAACTATCTGGTCAACATACCGTGAATGATACTAAAACTGACCCCTGGGCCAGAGAGATCACAACCTGATGCCTTAACTGTAAAGTCACATTTACTTTGTGCACTATTGCTTCAAGAACATAATGCCATCTCATGATGCCTAGTGGATTTCCTTGAGTAATCCTTGAATCAGTTATTTCATTAGGGTTTACAAAATAACGTTTTTACAGTGTTAGTAACTGGTTACCTTCTGTAAAGTAGAATTGGGGAGGCAGAGGGTAGGATGCAGAATATTTGTCTTTCTGAAAGAGAGTCCCAGACTGAGAGATAGAAACCCAGTCAACAGATGTGAGCACCACATTGCAGAGGGGAAGCGGGGGGGCTGGGGGGGCCCAGTGATGACAGCAGGATGTCTGAGCCGGCCCGTCCAGCCTCACTCCTCCAACAGTTTATTATCCGAGAGAAAAGCTCATTTCTCCAGCACACAAGTTGGAGTGACTTTCATTTTCCTTGCTTCTCTTAGGTTCATTTTGCTGGGCAGCAAACACAGTTTAAGGTTTTCAGCTTATATCCAGGAGAGAAATACCTCATCCAGGTTCGCTGCAAGCCTGACCATGGATTCTGGAGTAAGTGGGGCCCAGAGAACTCTATCCAGATACCTGATGGTGAGTGTCTTGACTACCTCTTGCTTATAGCCTTAAATATCTTTTAGAAAAGAATGAATTTAGTAAATTTGCATGACTACTAAGAAAGGATTTTGAGCCTCAGTCAGAGGAATGAGTAGGAGGGGTTTATCACCTCTCCACCCAACCCAAAGAGGTTTGGGAGGGCGGCAGTGCCCCCAGGTTACTATCAGCAAGGACTGGGGTCTAGAGTGAAGTTGCAGACACGGGCTTGGTGTGTCTCAGGAGGCTTGATACTCATTCTACCCTCCCCACCTGCCCCATTCCTGTCATTGAGTCAAGGTCATCAGCTAGTTCTCCTAGAATTTGGAAGGTGATATCCCATTTTAAAGGCATGAACTGAACTGATTTTCAGTCTCTGATGTCAATTACATGGTGGTCTCTCAGTCAAGGCACAGTATGAGAGGGGCACTCAGTTCTAACTGTCATTGAACATGGTGGCTTACACCCCACAAGAGAATGCTTCATCTCGCATTTCTAACATACTTCATGGTTTGCAAAGTCTTCACCTTGTTTGGTTCTCCCAACCCTCTCAAGTATTCAGCGAGACTATAACTGCCATTAAGAACTATAAGCAAGGGAACTGAAGTTCTCTGCAGTTAGAAGTCTTGCCCAAAATGAAATAGCAAAGCCTAGTGCTTGTGACAACTTGCCTGGCCAGAGTATCAGGGTTTGCATTGGTTTGTCACGCTGGAAAGAGCCATGAACTATGGGTCATAAGGCTGGCATGCATCCTGTTCAGCCCTGGTTCTTACTAACTAAGAGCACAGAGTCTAGAGGCAGAAAAGGCTTGAATTCAAATCCCAGACTACAACTTTATGGTTACATGCCAATGGGTAATCACTCTCTGAGTCTCATCTTTATATACAAGGCAATGTATATAAAGAACTTAACATTATTGATGGCTTTTCGTAAGAACTTAGTACATAACCTGTCATCATTACTACAATTGATCGTGTGATCTTAAGTTGCCTCTTAAAGTACCAAAGAAAATAACATGTAAAAGAATTTTGGAAAACTGCACTTTAAAATATACTTGCAACACATTCAAATTTAATAACATTGGAAAAATTAACCCATGGTCAATATTACTCTGGATCGCAGTTCAAGTCAAGAGAGGTGTAGGCAGGGGGGGACTTGGGTTCAAAAGTTTCCTTCATTAGTTTTGTTTGTTTGCTTGCATTTAATGATACTGTACGTGATCAAAGCTTTCTGACTGTTTCTTTTTAGATTTCACCAGTACAGATACCACCATGTGGATCTTCGTGGCTGTTCTGTCTGTTATCGTCTGTTTGATTGTGGTCTGGACAGTGGCTTTAAAGGGCTATAGGTACTTCACTGTCTATCAACTTTCCTCCCAATCCTGGTTGTCAGGGGTGATAATTCTCTAAAAAGCCAATACAGAGATGATGGAAATATACAGATAATTCAAGCACTTGATTTTAGCCATTAGTTGCAGTGCAGTCAATCCATTTTAAAGTCTTTTATTAGTGCTAATAAACGTCACAGAATGAACTCCTTTGAAGGTGGTGCTCTTTCCATCAGACTGAATCTCACAGTTGGGAAATAGTAAGATCCTGTCAAGAACAGCTAAAATCAAGAGAAGGGGAGTATGCAAATAATACAAATCAGCCTCCTCAGTGAGCTGGAGCTAATGTTGGCACTGGCCTCTATAACTATTGTCTTCACTGTTGCTTGTCAGTTTCAGGTAGCCACAGATATTTAACTCCTACCTACCTTAGTCCACGTAGCAGATAATACCAATCTTTTAGAAATTGCAAAGTGAGGAAATGAGTTATTTATCCTCTCCCACAAATTATTTTATAGCATGATGACCTGCATCTTTCCACCTGTTCCTGGACCAAAAATAAAAGGATTTGATACTCATCTGCTGGAGGTAAGAGCCAGAGAGGGAGAATGTGTCATGATTGGTGATGTCTACCTCTACACATGCACACACAATCCCACCAGTTCAGCCGGCCACACGCTCCTCCTTTGTAGAGAAATATATGTGAGGCATGCACATACTTATGAGGAGACATCAAATGTCAGAAGGAAAAGAGAGAAAGCCAGGAAAACAGGGGAGCACCTGCTAGTACTTGTAGCTTCACCAGTCTATTTAAAAGCACGGATATGAATCTTGTGGTCCAATGATCTGTTTTTGAAAAGGTGAATCTTTTGTTAAATACAAAAGAAGGACTTATGACCCCCACCCCCATCGTGCTTTGGTGAGAGCTTCCATCGGGCCAGAGTAACAGAATACTCTGCTGCTGCTGTTGCCTGTTGGAGCGCTCGGTGAGGCTGGGTCAGCACAGTGGGCTGGTGTTGGCCGGGGCCCAGTTAGGCTGATTCAGGTGGGAATTACATTTAGGTGTTTTGAATGGAAAAAGAGGTTAGAACATTCTAAATTTCTGTGCAGGTTGAAATATGGACTTTCAGTTTGACCTTAAGTTTAAGGCCGATAGTTGTAAAAGCAGTTACCTGTGCATTAGATCAACTGACCCAGCCACCACAAGACTAACAGTCTAAGAATGTGAAAAGAGAGTCCCCAGGAATTTGTCTTGACTGCATTCACGTTGACTGCAACTATAGTATCGGGGCCTAGGACCTTGGAATTTGGGCTTCTGGTGCAATGCTCTTACACCAGTATCCTTGAAAGAACCAGCCTGTACATCTCAAGTAACTAAATTAAGTACAGTCTACTCAACCTCATAGCCACAGAGACTTAATTATAAGCTAATTGCTTTTTGCATCAGAGAAAAAAGTTTTTGTTTTCTCGGTCACATTACCTCCAATCCTTGAAAGAACCCTCCTGTATGGCATTATTATTCCCATTTTACAGATGGAGAAACTGAGGGTCATTGAGTAGCTGGTGTCAAAGTCAATACCCTTTAATGAGTGATAAAGCTAAGATTTAGGCAACAGTACCTGACTTAAGTCAGAGGATCAGGAAGAAGAGTGGAAAGTAAGAAGGGAAGGCAGGAGGAAGAGTGAGAGAGAAGGAAAAGGAAGAGGGAGAGGAAGAGCAGGCGGAGAAAATGTGTATTGGCAGGAAGAGAGGGGGAGGAGGTAGAGGAAATGCAAAAGAGGCAGAGAAAAGTCGGATCAGAGAAGGGATGGGGAGGAAGGGAGACACTGGAAGAAGAAGAGTTGAGAGGGGAAAGAAGGGAGATGTTGGAGGAAAAGAGTTGAGGGGACAAGAAAGAAACGAGATGCAACTTATTGTTTCCAGATTCCAGTAAGTAGCAGAGAAGGTGAGGAGTCCAGGAACCAGATGTCAGAGCCACTGAATCCCAAAGAGCTGAACAGATGTATGAGCACATTGGTTCTATAATTTCTTTCTTTTTTATTATTTATTGATTTTTTAAGGGAGAGAAAGAGAATCATTGATTTGTTGTTCTACTTATTTATGCTTTCATTGGTTGCTTCTTGCATGTGCTCTGACTGGGGATCAAACCCACCACCTTGACATAAAAGGACAAAGCTCTAACCACCTGAGCAACCTGGCCAGGGCCTGAGTGTGGTGGTTTTAGATGTTGCAAAAACCTTTCTTGTTAAATAGTTACATGTTTTTTTATCTGTGCATATACTACTTGCCCATTAAATTCATGATCATTACTAGTTAGAGAGAGACAAAGTTAAAATCATAAATTGACTTGAAGAAAATATAAGATGAATAAGTATTCTAGGAGGTGATTATAGATGGCCCTGCACACAAATGTTGAAAGTTTGGGGAATTCTGCTAGGCTCTTACCACACCCACCCGCCCATGGTCATGAACATGGGCTAGACTTTGATGCTGATCTGGAATGTCGTAAAGCTAAGGGCCTTTTCTCCTTGTCTGTGTTCTATTCAAAGGGCAAGTCTGAAGAACTACTGAGTGCCCTGGGATGCCAAGACTTCCCTTCTGACTGTGAGGACTTGCTGGTGGAGCTTTTGGAAGTCGTTGACAGTGAGAACCAGCAGCTGATGCCAGCCAATTCAAAAGAACACTCGGATCAAGGTGTGATGAAGCCCAAACACCTGGGTCCCAGCAGGGACTCTGGCCTGGGCAGCTGTGACAGCGTTTCACTTTTGTCTGAAAAGTGTAAGGAACCCCAGGAAAACCTATCTACTCCCCACACTCCTGAGGGCATCAAGAAACCAGAGAGCTCTGAAACAAACGGTACCTGCACCTGGGTCCCTCAGAACACGGGCTTGGAAAGCAAAATCCCCTATTCCTACGCCAGTGGACCCAGATCTTCAACATGGCCTTCATCACAGCTGCCCAGCCAGCAGGAAGCCATGGCTTCTTACCACAACATTGCCGATGTGTGTAAGCTGGCCATGGGCACGCCGGGTGCGCTGGCCACTTGGCCGGACAAATCAGAAAATCATGCTTTACAATCCTTGGAAACCACTGAGCCTGGAGGGGAGGAAAAGGCGGCAGAGCAGAGGGCGACAGAAAGCTTTCATTCTGAGACTGACCCAGACACCCCACTGCAGCCTGCCCCCTTTATCTCCGTGAAACCCTTGGATTACGTGGCGATTCACAAGATCAGCAAAGATGGAGCATTATCATTGCTCCCCAAAAAAGAGAACAGCAACCAGACAGAGAAGCTTGGTGAGCCTTCAACCAGTAGGGAGTACACTAAGGTGTCCAGCGTGATAGAGAACAAAATCCTGGTGTTAGTGCCGGATCCACGTGCTCCAAACCTGCCTTCCTTTGAAGAGCCAGCCGAGGAACCTCTGCCATCCTTGCAAGAGAATCAAGGCGAGAAAGATGTGGCCTCCTACACCAGGGCACCGAGCAGCTTCGGTCTCCAGCTGGCGGGGTCTGAGTACCTAGACCCCATGTGCTTAAAGCACTCTTTTCAGTGACGGCTTAATTAATGGAATGATTGGTTAAAAATGTGATTTTTTTTCTTCAGGTAATACTACAGCGTTCATGCCATGTCCTCTGCTAGAGAAGGTTCGAGAATGGGGTGAGGATGACACAGCTAAAGACCCCCGGTTCACTCCTTTCCATGCTCCGCATTCAACCAGTTGCCTCTTTCCCCAACAGCTGATTCCAGAACAGAGCGTTTTGTTCCTGTGATTTGTGGATTTACTTTTTGCCATTAGTTATAAAATTGCATGTTCCACGGCATAAAAACACATTGCTTAGTAATCTTGAGGGACAGTGCTAGCAGTTATAGCCTCTGGGAAAGGCTTTGACGGTGTGGTACCTGATGGGGCACTGGAATAATCCAACTAGTGTAGCACAGGAAGGTGATAGACAAGGGCATTGCCATGAAAACCGCTTCTGGAAACCAACTGCTTAACCATTGCCCACCTCTCTCATTTGGTTAGTAGCAGCCAAACCCAGCACATTTATAGAAAGGATGCATTCCAGAACACCTCACAACACTGTTTACATCACTTCCTATTACCTTAGTGACAAATTGCTGATATGCAAGTTAAAGTTATGCCACTCTTTTTTTCTTAATTGACTGAATTTTTTAAGCACGCATCACCCGCTTCCCATGGTATTTTATTCTAAAGCCTCTGGAGAATATAGTTTTGGAGAGTGAAATTTTCTTACACAAGAGGCAAGTGAGTGTGATGCGGTGAATCCTCCTAAAATGTTTTCCTGCTTCATTTCAGTACGATAGATCATTTATCATATACCCTAGTCTTCTCTTAGTGAAGAAAAAAATCCCCCAAAACTAACTTTAATTTAAAAGACAATCATAGCAGCATGCTCATGGAGAGACTGCCTTACTGTACATAAAAATCTACTTTAATACAAACCCAGACATTCGACAATGTATTTTTGAAGACTATTTTTCTACCACTTAGGCAAAATAAAAGAGTATTTTCTATCTTCCCAGCACAACTGTTTACGTATTCAGTGAGCCCAGTATTTTCTGCTAGGAGGCTGTAGTGGGGATTTACAGCACATAATAGTGTACACAGTCCCTGTCTGTGGAGTAAATGCCACATCGACCAAACTCCACCGGGGAGTGTGAAGTGCATGACAACATTCAGTCTGCAATACAGCATAGTATCATTTTATCTGAGTCTTTTATCTCCAGGATGCATTAAACCACAATCACCAAACTAGAGTTTTAGGGGCTCTCCATAGACAGAAATGAATACTTCTTTTGGGACCTAGGGCTAATCTAGGGTTTCTGCTCTTCTCTGGGCAAATATTCATGAAGCCACTCTAAAAAGGAGAAGGGTGGCATCTAACATACAGTTTTAGAGAGAGGGGATTGCTTTTGCTTTGTTTTTCTGAAAAGTCTTGGCAGCAAAGATGTTTCAAGCAAAGTTATGAGTTAGTGTCTCTCTGGAGTAGATCCATGTGCAGAATCTTGGCAGAAGCAGAGCCACCACTCATGTCAGAAGTGTCCAAATACAAGTCTTAAGAAACAGCCTCTGTGGAGTGGTGGGAACAGCTACAAAAGCCAGGGTATGGTAGTAATAGTCCCGAGTCAGTTCCAAGGGCAGGATCCCCCCATCCCCACCCCAGAGGGGTCAAAAGCCTGGCTCTCCACTTCAAAGACAGCATCCATGACTCATGACTGCCTCCCTCTAATTTTTTTTATTTCACCTGATGCAAGTCCTTTCCTTATGTCCAAACAGTGACAGTGCTTCCAGAATTACAAAAGAATGGGTCTGAGGCTTTATTCTCCCAATATATAAACATCGTAAGAGTAAGGGAACATTTGAAAAAGTTGTCCCAGTTCATTCAATCCCCTAGATCCTGGCTACTCAAAGTCTGGTCTGAGGACCAGCTGCGTCATCATCACCTGGGTGCTGCATGGAAATGCAGATTTTGAGCCTCCCAGCCCCAGACCTACAGACTGAGAATCTGCCCTGAACTAGGTTCCTGGATGACACCTTTGGGTAGTGAAGTTCAAGAAGGACTGCCCTAGACGAGCATTTCCACTAAAGGTTATTTTGGCGCATGGTAATACCTCTCTTGGAAAGTACAAGTCAAGTCTGTTTGACTTAACTGAACAACACTGTATGTAAGGAAAAAGCATAATTTTTAAAAATCTAATTAGTCCTAACTGGTGTGGTTCAGTCAGTTGGGTGTCATTCTGCAAAGCGAAACTTTACCAGTTCAATTCCTAGTCAGGGCACATGTCCTCTCTTTCTTCCTCCCTTCCCCTCTCTCTAAAAACAAATAAATTAAAAATTTTTTAATCTATTAGTAGTTTAAGATTCACATAATGGTAGAGAACGACCTTCAAAAGTACATACAGCTTCCAAGAGAGAGAGATAGGGGACATAGTCCACCTTGAGCAGCCCTGACCCAAAACTCCGCCCTTCAAAGTCAAATTTCTCCCAAATAGTCCACCATTCTCCAAGATGTGTAGCAATCACTCTGCTAGCTTGAAAATTAAAAAATAATCTCATTTTGGCATACATGAGCAAAAAAGTATGGCCAATGACTCAACTTGAACTAAATCCCGAAAGAAAAAATAACACCAACTAGCCATTCATTAAGCCAAGCCAAGCCAAGCCATTTCTTGGTCAGTTAGCATTCTATATTTGAATTAATTGTTTTTCATGGGTAGAATATTTTTTAACCAAGGAAATATCTAGTCAAATGGAAGGATGCAGACTGAAGGTCAGGAGCCCCAGGTTCTAGTCCTAACTTTGTCCTCTAACACAGAACAATTCCCTTCTCTGGGCCTCTGTCTCCTCTGAAGGATATATTGGGCCAAAACAATTTCTAACGTCCTTCTGATCTCTATAGCATTGATTCCATGACTCACTGAATACTTTCTAGCCAAGATCATTTAACCAATGCCTTGTATCTTACTTAAGCTAATAAGTAATTGCCTTTCATCATCGAAATACAAGTACTCTTCTGTGATGTGCTTTTTGTATTTCCTTTTAAATCACCAGCTCCAATTGGTCCTAACATATTACACATGCATTTTAAAATTATGTAGGTACAGAATCATAGTCTAAGATTATATACAAATATGTGTGTAGAGGGAAGAGGCATGAGATTTTTTTTTAAAAAAGACATTAAGTGTGGTTCTAATTTTTAGAAAAATAGTCTTGTGCTGAATCAAGCCATGCTTATTCCTTGCCCAGTCCAGCAGCCCCAAGTTTCTTTTCTTACATCTGGATGTTGAGTCTATTCTTGTTCTTGTTTTTGTTTTGTTTTCTGCCTCTTGGATTGCCAACCAACACTGGATAGTTGGTTTCAAGAGCTTTATGCTCTGAATCACAATAAGTCCTATTTTTATAAACAAACACCTAAGTACTCATATTACAAAGCACATGGAAACAGGATAGCCAATGGGTGATTTATGGAAGCTTATGACCCAAACTGCAGAATGTCCTGAGGTCATCTTTGATGAATGGGGATTAGGCACCTCACCGTGAGCATATGTTCCTATCAGCCTCATCACTGACCTTTACCTTCTTTCTCCTAAGTGCCTAAGGCCAATCCTGGTAGTCAGTTGTGGACGAGAAACTTGTTTCCACTGGTTTAGTCCACAGTGGGCAGTCCTTAGCACCTGTAAATGATGGGGGAGTTGAACTCCTTTTCCTGTAGGGGCCCAACGGAATCAGAGAACACTATCAGTTAACAAGCAGCTGGAGGCTGCAGAGGGGATCCAGCTGCTTGCCACTGCCCTCACTGTCACAGAGAGGTGGCCCTGCCTTCAGTAACACTCCTGTCTCCTTAGAGTAGATGAGAAAGAAATGGATTCGTAGGTGTTTTACAAAGTGCCTTTCTTTATTTTTATAAATTTTTTAAAGTTTCCTTTTTACAAAGAAGTGGTGTATTGATTGGAAAGTAAATTTTCTTTTTTTAATGTCAAAGAATGGAGAAGTCAGAAAGGGAAAGATGCAATGGTCTAAGGTCCAGCCAGCACCTGTTTGGCAGATTTTTACATTTATTGTTTAACTGAATTATGACAGAGCTGATGTGAATAGTGTGATTTACTTTGGTAAGAAATTGACTCTTGCTGGGGTTTGGGGATCAGCCTGCCACCCCCAGACCTCAATTTACAAACATATGGACGCACACGTGAATGCTTGGAAGTGTGTGCCTGGGCCAGAAGAGGACAGTGTACACACCACGGAACTTTGCACACATGTGGAAAATGTAAATGACTCTGGATTACTACCCCAGCATGGGCTACTGTGGATTTGCCTTGGATGAAAGAAGCATGTGTATGTCAGTGAACAAATTTCTTTTACTGCCTTTTCAGCTCAAGCACAGTTGTGTTCTTGCTCAGGTGGTGGGCTGAACATTCGATTTCCAGGTCTGGGTCCCACTGCTGCCACCGAACAGGCTGTGGGATTCAATGCGAGTCCTTTACACTCCCTATTAAATAAGTGGATTGGCCTCCAATGTTTCAAAGACCTCTCACAACCCTAACCATCTTTGATTTCATGATCTAAGTGAAATCTAGGGTTTCTAGTCAAAGGCCCAACTACAGCCAGAAAAGTTTGTTGATGTGCCCTTAACCTGAAGCAATGAACGGTGTGGCTATGGCGAAGCTTGACAGAAACACCGAGATCCATCCCTCCAAATCAGGCTGATTGGATTTAACATCCTTGCCTCTCCTCTTCTTAGCTGTCTTTACTGGCGGGCTCTTTATTCCATCACTCCAGGGCCTGTATTTGTCCTAAGAGTGACTGATGGCTGTACCAACAATAGGAACTGAAAAAATTATTTCTAAACGGTGACTATGGCTCTACAATGGAGAAGACTGAGTCATGGTAAATCAGCCACATGGACATCCAAGCCCAGGCTGAGGGTCACGAGTTACCTAATTTGGAGCTGTGCATGCTTAGAGATTCTAGCTCTATTCATGAATTACTTAATTAATTCAAAGGCCATTAACGGATCCAAGCAACACTGATAAAACTTAAAAATACAGAATGACTGCTTGCGAGTACGTGATCTAACCAGGTGTTCCCTGTTGGATAAATTGAGCAGAAGCTCTCTTCCAGACTTGTGTCTTTCAGGAAGGTGATTTGGGGTTTGAGACCCTCATGGTATCTCTTTCAAAGAAAGGAAAAAGATAGAAAGGTAGAAAATAGAAAGGACATTTCCAGGAGGTTGGGCATCTCGGAATTCCATAAAATGCTAAGAGTAGCCTGCTGAACCCAAATTTTAGGAGACCTGGTGAATCTGCAATTTAGTCAGTGTTCTAAGTCATGGCTGAGAGATCTACGTAACCCACAACAGCATGTGCCCAGTCCTGTTCTGTCCACGTCAGTTCTTTTGCTTCATGCTTGGATTTTAAGTCAGGAAGAACTGAGACATGTAAAATGGAAAAACATCTTTCATTTACGTGGTTGTGGCCAATGAATAGAGAGAATCTTGGAGAGTCTCAGTCTATTAGTTAATTTTTACCTACTTCTGATTAGAAAGAAAAGGACAATTAACTCCCAAACTTTGGCTACTGAAGTAGAAATATCCAATATAACCTTTAATAGTGATCAAATTTGCTTCACCGGGATAAACTTCAAAACACAGTCTGAACTTTCCCATACAAATCTCTCAAGTCCTGAGGGGGGGAAAAATCTTTTTGTTTTCCTACCTGAAATTGAAAAACTACATGGCAGAGATAACCTCTGACAAGTTATTTGCTTTATAAAATTCCTCATGAAATGATTTTGAGTTTTTCAGAGTAACTACCTCCCCTTCTTATCCTGGTGTCTTTTCTTCAAAGCTGCTTGTTGTTGAGAACAAAGGATGTCGCGTCTTGTGCTTTGACTATTTTCAGTGGCACGTTTGTCCTCTTTACCCTGTGACATTCCTGACTTTAAAGTAACTGTTATATTTATATTATATTGCTTTTTGTGGTTCAAAAACTACATGACACATTGAAATATATGATCATGCCTCATATTGTGAAACTCACATAAAACAAATGAAGATAATTATTTAATGACTTACAATCTATTCATATGTGGTTACAGTATGATCGTGTCTATGTCTGTAAGACAAAACTGAAGGAAATACATAATCATAGAATTCTGTTGAAGCCGTGAATGTACTAATTTTTTTCTAAACTTTGTCTAGAATTAGTGTAATGTGCCAATTGTACAGCTGATCTGGGTGTCAAGTGTTCAAAGTACAATCAATGATTGTTTGAAAGCCAACCACCCCCTCAGCTTTGCTTCATGTAACCTCTGATACTTCTTGAGTGTTATTTGCATTATGAGGTTTGCTTTTGCGGTTGATCATTCATTTTTAAAAATGTGAGAGTCTCATGTGGAAACCAAAGCAATCTAGAACCAGCCTGTTGAGTGAGCTGTGTCCTCTGAAAAGCCATATTGAAGTAAAGACTATGTAATAGCATAAGGTTTCATATTTTCAAAGCTACCACTACCTCTGCTTTTTCTCTTTTCTAGAAAATGCCAAGCAAAACTTCAACATTAAGTGGGAAGTTAGATGTGATTGTCACAAGAGTTGTTGGATGGGTTTGTTTGTTTGTTTGTTTGTTTGTTTCACATGAGAATACATCTTTTAGTTTACCACTTTGTAGGTTTATGCTAGGTTGTCTCAATAGCCATTTTTACATTTAATAAAAACTGGATGATGAATGAGGACTGGAAAGAAGACATGGTAAGTCACCAATGAAAACCCACAAAACCAGAGTGCAGATTATTTTCCTAACTCTAAATTACTCATTGCCCACAATGATGGTATCTCTCGCAATTTGATTTCTCTCATCTCACCTCGAAATACATCTTTTCCTGATTTGATTTTAGACAACATATATATTGATAGGAGAAAAATTAATCATATATCAGAAATAATTTTATTTTGATTTATAAAATTTATTTCTACATGTACTTATTATAATGCCATTCTTTTCTTTTTAGCCTTAAAGAATTAGAGAGGACCATAGTCGTCCAATTTATGTTGCATTTTTAATCCTGTAATTCTTTGGTTACTGCGTGTTGTGCCTTCTGTTTGCCACGCGTTTGTTTGTCTCCTTCCTTTCTGAGGAGGTGGTGCAGACAGTGACACCTTTGTCAGTAGTGTGGGAGATTATGCTAACTGCTGTTATCATGATATCTTCATGTTTGCTGCACGCCAAAAACAGCGCTTGACAAACAAATCTTCGATGTCCCTGTACAATACGGTCATTCTATTTCTATTCCTGTTATGCAAAATTCTCAGCTCAGTGCCTGGCTCAATAAATGTATTTCCCTTGCCTACCCTCCTGTATTTTTTTTATTTCGTGTGGAAATGAGCAGGATAACATGTGCATGGTTGAAACAATTTTCTTGAAGACTTTTTGCTGCAAAAGAATTCATTATCCAGAAATTATCTGTGTAAGTTGAACTAAAACCATGTTCCGCCTTTACTTTCTTCATTCCCTACAACTGCAAACATAATTGCCCCCTTTAGCCATCCCCTTCACACAAAAAGCTGCTGAGACTAAAATGAGATGGAACTATGAAGACAGGGATCAGATTGAAGAAGCTCATTCAAATGTGAAATAAACAAAGGGTGAAACCATTAAAAAGTAATAATAAAGAGATTTTTAATAGCATAAATCTTCCATATTTCCAAAATCGTTTCTGATGAAATTCATCAGATTGAGCATAAAAGGATAGAACTTCTAGATCTAGAAATCTTCATCTACTATTCATGCTTATGGTACAGAATTATGAAATGGTGCAAAGTAGTTTTACAAACCCTTCTCTGCCTCTTAGTTCTCTAATGCCATGTCTTACAGGACAATGAAAAAAATCTTGCATATGCCCTGGCCCATGTGGCTCAGTTGGTTGGAACATCATCCTGTACACCAAAGGACTGTGGGTTTGATTCCCGATCAGTGCATATACCTAAGTCGCCGCTTCAATCCCTGGTCCACGCATGGGCAACCAGTTGATGTTTCTCTCCTTCATTGATGTTTCTTTCTCTCCCTTTCTCCTTCCCCCTCTCTTTAAAAGCAATGAAAAAATATACTGGAGTGAGGATAAAATGAAATTTCTTGTGCACCACACTCTTTCTTTGGCCTCTGTCAAAGAAATACTGACATTCTCATTACGTTGGTACCATCTGTCTTTAATACTTGGGCACACTTTCACTTTTCAACTGCAAAATTTGGAGTGTCAGCCACTAGACACAGCATTCATATAATTTATGAGGAGCTAGAGAAGTAATATGTAGCTAGTTTTCCAAAATCATTGCATGTGCTTTTCTGAAATAAAACAGAAATCATATATTGCCACATCTTGCCAGGATCACATTTGAAACTTTAACCCCACCCAACTCCCTATGACTTACTTGCCAAGCTTTATACATTCCAAATCTCCTCTATTTTTAAGGAACTGAGAGATACAACTTTCTTTTAGTAGAAACCTTGAAGTCTTGGGGGTGTAGTGTAGGGTGAAACTGGAGAGAGGTACAAATGAAATGAGGCTGTTGAAAGGCCCCCGACAGGGACCTTACTGGCCAGAGAGGCAGATTCTTGCTGATTTACATTTGAGAGCCTTTCCAAACCATGCAGGTGAAACTGAACTTGTTCTTTACCTTGTAAAATGTATGTCAAACCATGATTCTTCCATGTACAACCTGCCCCACCCACCCCACCCTTCGACTCTCGATGCCCATGGGAACACCCTGGTAGGCATTCTTCTCTTGTTATGGTCATATTCACATCAGAACATATGCTTACACACTGACTTGAAGCACAGAGATTGTGATAAATGTGATTTTTAAAATGTTAAGAAAAGACTAGGGAATGTTGGTCAAATAAAACACCATGAGGATGTCTGTTGGCAAACATTAGTATAAGAAAATGGAGCTTAGGAATTTTTATTACTGTATTTATAAATGTGTCCAAGAGAATTTGTAAATGTCACAGGTACATTTTTAAGATGACACATTCACTTCACACCATAAGTAATTAAAATGTCTAGTTGAACTTAAATGACATTTGCCAGTGGTTTTATTTCACATGATCACTATTGACCTTGTGACTGAATCATGTACCCTCCTGGTGCATTTTTCAATTCCTTTTCAGACCAACTGTTTGCCTTGGTAGCAATGCTGAGTTTAAATTGAATCAATGAATTACTTCCTGAGCAATGCTTTCTGGAGGTTCTTTTTACACATACGAAACACATATTTTATGAAAAAATATAACCTTGATAAATTTTTCTTCACTTAAACTTTATTAGAAATTTTCTGAAGAAGAAGAAGAGGACGATGATGGCACTCTCAGCTTCCCTGGAGATAAAATCATAGACACGTGCTAAAATATTGGTCTTAAAACACACATCCGAGGCACTTTTTTCAGACACACTTTGTTGGTGCTCATCTTTCAGCACATTCTCTAATTTTATGTTCCTACTAATTCTAAATCAAAATTGACATCTTGCGTCCAAGCCAGTTGAATTCTACATCTTCCCTTCCCTCCAGTCTTTATCAACTTGCCAGACCCCAGCTTAGAAACACAAACATTCTTGGAAGCACCCAGAATTTCCTCGGGCCTTCTGGGAACAACCAAGAACGATCAAAAGGACACTTTCCAAATCTGATACACAATTAACTTTCCCAAGTGGAACTTAAGCCATAAAACTCAGTGCCGAAGATTTACACTGTCTTTTGTTTACTTCCTCCTTCCTAGAATTTCCTTCCATCTTCACACAAAACTCTAGTTGGGATTTAATCTTCCATTTGCCATCTTTTATTTATTGCATAAAATATTTTATACATACTTGAAAACTACGAAAGAATGTATGACAAAAATCCATTTGCCATTCACACTCAAATTTCATAAGCATTAACACTTTATTATATCTATTCCTTACTTTTTAAAAATAAATGAGCCCTGGCTGGTGTGGCTCAGTGGATTGAGCACGGGCCTGCGAACCACATGATCGCGGTTCAATTCCCGGTCGGGGCACATGCCTGGGCTGCGGACCAGTTCCCAGCAGGGGACTCACGAGAGGCAGCCACACATTGATGTTTCTCTCCTTCTCTCCTTCCCTTCCCATCTAAGGATAAATAAATAAAATCTTAAAAAATAAAATAAAAAATAAATGAAATATCAGATGCAGTAATACATATGCTTCAATAACCAAATTCCCTTTCTCTCTGGTGGTAACCCTAATCTTGTAGCGGTTGTATATTCTTCCTAACCATTTAAAAATGTTTCATATATGCATTCCTAAACCATATGTATAAATATTCTGAGTTTATGAATTTTGCTTAGATAACAGTGCATCTTATTAAGCACCTTGATTTCTTTTCATTCAGCATTGGAGTTTTGACATTCAGATAGTTCCAATGCATTGTTTTTTATCTGTTGTAAGCGGTTATATACATGCATACAAGTTATTTCCATCTATCAACTCTCCGCTTCAACTATGGTAAGTGACTCTATAATAAACATTCTTATGCATCTCATTTTTTGAGTATTTGCAAAGTTCTCTCTACGATATACTTAGAGAAGTGGAACTGTTGGATCACACAGAGCACATATCTCCACATTTCCTCAATACTGATACATCGTCCTCTAAAGCAGCTGCACCAATGTATACCCTACTCAGCGGTGTAAGTTTCCATTCTCTCCTGGATTACTATCTAGTGTTGTCAGACATTTTAATTATTTTTATGCTTATAATTTAATATAAGCATAAAATGATACCCTGTTGCTGTTGGAATTTTCATTGTCCTGAGGAACCCATTTATATTTGAAGAGCTCATCCTTCACCTGCTTATCTTTTCATGCCATCTTTGTGATCTTCTGTTTCTACCTATGTCCAAGCCCCACATCTGGGCCCCTATTCCAGACCAGTTGTCTGTCTATCTATCACCGCCCTGTTGGTCCTGTTTTTATTACCCTACCTTCATATAGTCTAATTAGCATGTGGTATATCTTTTAAATTCCTGTACCCCCATACCTTATTAAAAATTATTCTGGCTACTCTTGGGCCATTTATTCATCATATGAATTTTGAGATAAATCTATGAACTTCCCTTTAAAAAATACTGCAAAGTAGATAGTTCATTGAATTTCTGTATAACTTTGGAAGAAGTTATATCTTTAAAATATAGTGTCTTCCTAGTCATGAACATGGTATATTATCAATTTAAATACTTTGGTCTTTAATAAAGCTTTATGTTATTCTTTATGTGTTTGATTAGATTTATTCTTAGCCATATAATTTTTGTTGCTATGGTATCTTTTTTAATTTTATCCTTTCCAACTGGTTGTTGCTTGAATATAGAAACCACTGGCTTTTAATGGTTGATCCTGTGTTCTGGAACTTTATAAAACTCAATGATTAGTTCTTATACTAGGTTTTGTTGCATTTTCCATTTTTATAATTGTATCCGTAAAACATAGCTTAGTTTCTTATTTTCTGATCCCCATATTTCTTATACCTTTTTCTTGATTTATTTATTGGGGTTGAATGTCCAGCACAATGTTGAATTGATGCAGAACAGTAGACATCCTTTCATGTTCTTCACTTTAAAGGGAATACTACTAAAAGTTATCATTAAGTATAGTGTTTCCCATAGGTTTTTGCAGATACACTTAGTGACAACCACATCAAAATTACAACTAAAATATACGGATCCAAGAAACGCACCTGAAGGGTACACATTGGATACCCAGCTTGGGTGACAGGGGAGGCTGTGCCACTGGACCCTACAGGACACCTACTACATTAGGTAACACTACCAAGACATGGAGTCATAGCAACTCTACCTAATACATAGAAACAAACACAGGGAAGCTGCCAAAATGAGGAAACAAAGAAACGTGGCCCAAAGGAAAGAACAGGTCAAAACTCCAGAAAAAAAGAGCTACACAACATGGAGATGAGCCCTCTATCAGATGCAGAGTTCAAAACACTACTTATAAAAATGCTCAAGGGGCTTAGTGAGGACCTCAGCAGCATCAAAACATCCAGTCAGAAATGAAGGATACACTAATTGAAATGAAGTACAGTTTACTTACAGAGAAACAACAGTAGAGTGGATGAAGCTGAGAATCAAATCAATGATATGGAACATAAGGAAGCACAAAACGACCAAGCAGAACAAGAAGATGAAAAAGGAATCCCCAAAAATGAAGATAGTATGAGCAGCCTCTGGGACAACTTCAAGAAGTCCAACATTCAGATCATAGGGGTGCCAGAAAAAGACAAAGAGCAAGACATTGGAAATATTTGAAAAAAATAATGAAAGAGAACTTCCCCAACTTGGTGAAGGAAATAGACATGCAATTCCAGAAAGCACAGAGAGTCCCAAACAAGGTGGATGCAATGAGGCCCACTCCAAGATACATCATAATTAAAATGTTAAATATTAAAGATAAATAGAGAATCTCAAAAGCAGCCAGAGAAAAGAAGGTAGTTACCTTTGAAGGCGTTCCCAAGAGACTGTCAGCTGATTTCTCAAAAAACAAAAAAAAACACACACACAAAAAAAAAACTTTGTAGGTTAGAAGGCATTAGCAAGAAATATCCCAAATCATGAAAAGCAGAGACCTACAGCCAAGATTGTACTACCCAGAGGAGCTATCATTTAGAATTGAGGAGCAGATTAAGAGCTTCCCAGACAAGAAAAACCTGAAGGAATTTATCATCACCAAACCATTATTATATGAAATGTTAAAGGGACTTATTTAAGAAAAAGAAGATCAAAACTATGAATAATAAAATGGCAAAAATTACATCTCTAACAATTGAACTAAAAAAACAAACTAAACAAAGAAGAACAGAGACAGAGTTGTGAATATAGAGAAGCATTTTGATGGTTTCCAGATGGAAAGGGATGTGGGCGAATGAGTGAAGAGGTGAGGGGATTATGAACTACAAATAGGCAGTCACAGAATGGCCATGAGGATGTAAAGTACAGTATAAGAAATGAAGTAGACAAAGAACTTACACACATGACCCATAGATGTGAACAATGGTGTCGGGACTGCTTGAAATAGTGGGGCATTCTGGATGGGGAGGGGCAAAGAGGGAAAATTGAGACAACTGTAATAAAATAATCAATAAAATATAATTTAAAAAAATAAAAGGAGGGTCCTGAACATCCATGTCAATCTGTTTTTTGTAGAATGTATGGCAGAAATATTTTGTGCATCATCCTCTTTATTAACAGTTGGTCTTCTCCAGTCATACATTGCTTGAAATTCACAACCAAAGTATACATATTTTTTGAATCACAGCAGGATGACATTTCTTGCAATTTGGCTTCCTATGTCCAGGGTATTCCTGTATGGGGGAAGAGCTGCCCTTATACTTGGATTCTCAGGTACAATAAATTATCTTTCTAGGACCTTTAATTATATCTTGTTCCTCTAATAATTATAACAGAATTAACTGATTTAATTGCAAATTGCAAAGATATTGAGATTGGAATAGAAAAATAAAAGAAATGTGCACCAGATGAAAAAATGTAACTGATTTATCGCCTAAGGAAAAAGTTTTCAAATAGAATGAAAAAACAATCTAACTATGGATAGAATTGAATCCTATATGTACTATATATTTTCCCTATAAAAACATACCTATGATAAAGTTTAATTTATAAGTAGGCATATTAAGAGATTAACATCAACAACTAATAATTAAATAAAACAATGATAAAAATATACTATAATAAAAATTATGTGACTATGGTCTCTCACTTTCGCTGACAACTTAAATGGCTACTAAGTGACTTAACCATTGGGTAGTGCACAGAACGTGAATTTGCTGAACAAAGGGATGGTTCATATCCTGGGCCAGATGGAGAGGAGTGGCTTAAGATTTTATCATGCTACTCAGAATAGTACACATTGTAAAACTTATACGTTATTGATTTCTGGAATTTTCCATTTAATATTTTCAGACTGCGATTGACTGCAGGTAACTGCAACTATTGAAAGCAGCACTGTGAGTAAGGGAGATTATTGTATGTGTTGTTTATAAAAGACACACTTAAAACATAATGGCATACAGCAATTGAAAGTAAAGGAATGGAAAGTGACCCATTAGAGAATTAGCACTGGAAAGAAGGCTGGTATAGCAATATTGGTATCAGAAGAAATGATTCCAATATCTGTGTCATACCTGATTTTGACTCAGAGGCTTACTTTATGTTTTCAGGCTGTGTTTTATTCCTGTTGTGATGCATTGGAAATGCTGAGATAGGTAAACTGTTAGTGTGAGATTATGTGTTCATCTGATTGGATGTAGGATATGTTTAATATTTGTTATAATGCAGGTGCCAGAGTATTCAAATTCCCTTGGTGTAATTTTTTGTGTGTGTCCCCTGATGTCCTAAGGCTTTTCTAAGAACACCTTTTTAACTAGAATCCATAGTATTTTACTGGGGCCCTAAAATCTTATGAATGAACCTCAGTCTTTTAGTGAGCCTATGTCCCAAGGCTGTGACCTCACATGCATTTCTCCAGTTCTTTATTTATTTTACTTTCATTTTTAATTATATTTCACTGATTATATTATTACAGTTGTCCTGATTTTTCCCTTGGTATAACCTTCACCCAGCACCCCTACCAGCTCAGGAAATCCCCACACCACTGTTCCCATCCATGGGTCAGGTATATAAGTTCTTTGGCTTTTCCATTTCCTATGCTGTACTTTACATCTCCATGGCTATTCTGTAACTGCTTATTCGTACTTCTTAATCCCCTCACCTCTTCACCCATTCCTACACAGTCCTTCTCATGCGGCAACCATCAAAATACTTTCTGTACCTGTAACTTCGTTCTTCTTCTTTACTTAGTTTGGTTTTTTTTGGTTCAATTGCTGTTAGATTTGTATTTTTGCCATTTTATTGTTCATAGTTTTGATCTTCTTTTTCTTAACTAAGCCCCTTCTACATTTCATGTAATAATGGTTTGATGATGGTTTGAAAAACCTCCTTCAAGTTTTTCTTGTCTGGGAAGCTCTTTATCTGCCCTTCAATTCTAAATGATAGCTCCTCTGGGTAGTACAATCTTGGCTGTAGGTCTCTGCTTTTCATGATT